GTTTCTTCTCTTTCTGGTTGACCGATTTCACTCGATTGCAGTCCCAGTGCACGTTGTACGCCAGACGCTATTTCTCAAGCCTTCAGCAGAATGTACACTTTCGCCTCATCTGCAGACCGACTCGGATCTGATTCCCGTGCTTGCATTGTCTGTAGGCATCATCTCCTTCATCAAAGCCGTGTTGCCTGAGCAAACTGTGGACGCCCATGCTTGGTCGTCTACGCCATCTCAAGTCCATTCGCAGTTCATTTTGGACATGATGTCGCATTCCTGTCACGAATATGCTTGTTTGTATGCCTAGTTCCGTGACCGCCAGACCACCAAAATTGTACTGGTCTCGTCGAACAGACTTCACTCCCTGAGAGCTGGTTGGCTTGATTTCCCTTCCTTCCTCCTCGTGATCCCTTTTCCTCTGCTTAACGATAGATCCTTGATCCAAGCGTCTTCTTTTTCTGCTCTTGCTGTATTCTCGTTTCCTCCGAGTTTGCTCAAGCAGTAGGCAAAGTTATCGCTAACGCTGCCTTCCTCCAATCTCCTTTCGATTGGATTTTTCCCCCAAAGATGTCATTATGATGACTATTATTGCAGAGGACTTCGGACGAGGTGCGTTCAAATAGGTTGCCTGGACAACAAGATCAAGTTGCGAAAGCGAGGTCAACCCACTTTTATAAATCGAAAGCAGACTGTGACCATACCGAGAGCCACACCATCTTGATCTTCATGCCTACGATTAAACTACGGCAGTAACAATGCCATACATTGCACTGGATACAGCCGGACAAAGATGACAATTGTAAGTCGATCGTGCCAATTGACCTTTTTAAATTTCTGTAACCAGTAAAGTATCACTCCTAAATTCCGTGACCTGAGGAGACCCTACCATTCAGATAAGGTTAATAAATTACTCCACCAGGCCTCTATTCAGAAGTTAAGTGAAGCTTATAATACGAAAAGGAATAAGCTTTTTAAGTTTATAGAAATTAAGTCAAAGCCCAGGCGTGATCTCGCCTGGATTCTGACTCGGTAAGAGTTTTACAAACTACATAACATGACCGACAGAAAATCACGTAAGATCTTTGGCTTAATAAATTGCGTAAGTTTAGGATTATAAACAACATAAATTAAGGCAAGTGTGCCTAGTTAAAGTGGTTTTCGAGATGACAACACCTCCTGATCAAAACGAGAATCGGCATATCATTTTCTATCCTTTATCCGCCTGAAAGACTATTTCCAGGGTCTTGCATATCCTGACTTATCTGTTCCTGTGTCTCGATTCTTGATCTGTCAAGATCCTCGGATTTAGTTCCATCTCAATTTTACAGTTTTATCTCCTCGGAACATTTCGGAGATATTGATAACCTCCACCAGGATGTCCCCTAGAAGGCTTGCGTCATTTTGTTATTCAAGTTGTTTCATTTTTTCAGGATCTTGGTGTTTTCGGGATCAAAAGGAAATGACGATACAATAACTATTTCTTTCCTATCGTCGTTCTTATCAGTACGTGTTGCCACCGCGGAAACCACGTAATATATGCTGTTTATAATCCTAAACTTACGCAATTTATTGTCGTGTAGTTTTGTTATTAAGTCAAAGATCTTATGTGATTTCCTGTCGGTCATGCTCTGGAGTTTCCAAAACTCCTACCGAGTCAGGATCCAGGCGAGATCACGCCTGGGCTTTGACTTACTTTCTATAAACTTAAATAGTTTATAAGCTTCTCTTAACTTCTAAATAGGGGCCTGGTGGAAAAATATATTAACCTTATCTAAATGGTAGGGTCTCCTCAGGTCACGAAATTTAGGTTACAGAAATTTAAAAAGGTCAGTTGGCACGATTGACTTACAAATGTCATCTTTGTCCGGCTGTATCCAGTTCAATGTATGGCATTGTTACTTTCGTAGTTTAATCATAGGCATGAAGATCAAGATGGTGTGGCCCTCGGTATGGTCATAGTCTCCTTTCTATTTATAAAAGTGGGTTGACCTCGCTTTCGCAACTTGATCTTGTTGTCCAGGCAACCTAGTTGAACGCACCTTGTCCTAAGTCCTCTGTCATAATAGTCATCATAATGGCATCTTTGGGGAAAAAATCCAATGGAGAGGAGATAGGACGAAGGCAGAGTTAGCGATAACTTTACCTTCTGCTTAAGCAAACTCGGTATGGTCTTAGTCTCCTTTCTATTTATAAAAGTGGGTTGACCTCGCTTTCGCATATTGATCTTATTGTCCTGGCGACTTAATTGAACTCACCTTGTCCGAAGTCATCTGCCGTATTAATTATTATAATTTCCATCATCAGACTCTGGAATTGGTACATTCTCGGACGTTTCACCGGCATCATCAGCCCACTGGGACTGTAATCGAGTGAAATCGGTCAACTTGAGAGATAAGAAAGTGAGCTATGAGACCATGAGGCAGATGCGGATAGGAGGCCCGAGTGGGATTAGCCTATCGAAAGAGAAGGGGTCAATGGGAACAACGGGTGTGTTGAGGCCGCACTGAACTCGCCAAACAGGGTACATCCTTTGAGAATTGGAATGTAAACAAGGGGTTGGGAAAAGAGGGAAGGGAGTAAATAGATGGGTCAGGACAGAAAGAGAAGTGATAATGCAACCGTTTGGACAGAACGTTAGTCGACGGATTGATTTCACTTGTCTTTTTGACGAGTTCTTAGCTTGGTGCGGAGAATGGCAAAACTCACTGATGATGCCGACTATGATGCCGACGAAACGTCTGAGAATGTACGAAGTCCACGGTCTCATGATTGGAATCATGACAACTAATATGGCAGAGAACTTTGGACAAGGTGCGTCCAACTAGATCCTCCTGAAAACAAGAAAAAGTCGCGAAAATGAGGTCAATCCTGTTCCATAAGTTACTTTGAAAAATATAATATGAGATGTATTCATGCCATTTCGGTTAAGATGATGAGGGATTGGTAGTAGAATTTTCCCACAATGATATGAGTTGAGCTGACGATTCCATTCAATTTCACACAGCCTTGCTTTCCCAGAAGTAGTCTCGAAACTCTACTTATGAACGAAAAAAAACTAGTGCACATAAAATAGACTTATTAAATTTCTAGAAAAGTCCTAATATAAATCTGTATCTCGTGATTACTCATTCCGCGTTATTTCACAAATTGGCCCTCATATTTCCCCTTGCGTTTCGTACTTCTCCATCATATGACGACATCTCTCCCTCATTATCATTTTTACCTGTGGCTCCTTTGTTTATATATCAGTCTGTTTGGATAGAACCATACGGTGTGAATCATTGATGGCAAAAGTCCTAAAAGTCTTACTCCTATCAGCCATAGTGCCACTGAAAAACATTGATAACGTACAGATTGTATTCCCGTTGGAGCCCCTGATTGCTTCAATGTACTCGGCACTCTTACCTATTATGTATTTGAGAGCTTAATTTAAATAGCAGATACAATGAAATCCACTAAAGGAATAGAAATTTCTATTCAATTCATTTTGAGCACTCGAAAGCTTAGACTTCAGAATCGTCTGATTT